TTTTTTGTATCTCCTTGAGGCATCGACTTCCAGGAATCCCTTCAATTAGTCTACTGCAATTTTTTCCAACCAGTCCAAGGGCTCCAACTACAACAGGGATTGTTGATGTTCCCATATGCCACATTTTCGAGATTTCTATTTCAAGGTCCTTGTACTTTGACAACTTTTTGAATATCTTCAAAGATACATTGCAGTCAGCAGGGACTGACATATCCATCACCGTTTTTGTTTGTGGTCTTTAATAACAATATCTGGGCGGTTGGCTTTGATTGTTCTGTCAGTGTGTATTGTGTAGTCCCATAGAATTGTAACAGGTCCTATCTCCGTAACCGGGTCTGGGTGGTGTTCATACCAGTTTCTTTCAGTTTCCTTCCCATAGAAGTTGCAGATTTTCCAGTGCAGATATTGGCCCACTCTGTCATGTCAGGTTTTATATTCAGTGGGTGCCAACATCGTGCAACCTGATACAAGATGATCAATCGTTTCTGGATATTTATCACAGAATCTGCATTTTGGGCTGACAGAATATTTTAGTATGTGTGCTTGATAATTCCTAGTTAGCAAGCATTGGTCCTGCGCAGCAAGGATAAAACCTTCAGTTTCCGCTTTCAACCCTGCACTACGTAGCCACTGATGGGTACGGGTTTTGTCTACGTCAGCTTGTTTGGTACGGGCAGAGTATTGGCCATGAAGCGGTTTATCTTGCCATCGCTTCTGTAGCTGGTCGGTTGCATTCGTCTTTGCTGTCTTTTTTAGGTATTTTGCAGTTTCAGCCGGTGTATTGTGCTGTAGTTGCATCTCTACGCCCATTTGAAACTCCATTTTGAATTTTTTGGCTTCTTTCATTACGGAGTAAAGACGCTTATTACTTTCATGTTCCTTGACGCATATCATCATCCAGTCTTTGGAGGCCAATTGTTGTAGTTTTGTAGGACAGTTCTAGTTGAACTAATCCTCTGCCTCCTTCGGATCTGGGCACATACAGACGATCAACATCATCTTTGGGATGATGCATGCGATAGCAAGTGAGAAGCATTCTCGTTTTGGCGTCCATTCGCTTAATTTCAGCTATGGTCCAGTTAAGGACATTAATGCTGTATTGAACCACAGGGACAGCCAATGTGTTTATGGCTGATATTCTGTTTTTTGAGTTTAGCTCAGTATTTAGTACCAGACGTACACGCCTGTAGTGCTCTTTTCTTATTTTTTCCCTTCATTTGGGGGTGTTGTATGCCATCTTTGTACATTTCCAAAGTCTTAAGGATCCAAGAATGTGGAACACTATCAAAGGCTTTACGATAATCAATCTACGCTAAGATTTCTGCGTCGTCTTCTGCAATTTTCCAGGATCATTTTATTTATCAGAAGTTGATCTTTGCAGCCATATGAACCTCTTCTGCATCCCTTCTGTTCCAGTGGGAGAATGCTGTTTGTTTCGAAAAAGGAATAAGTACGGTTCGTCAGTACAGACGTGATCAACTTATACGTTGTGGAGAGACATGTCATCGGTCTATAATTTTTCGGGTCGTCTGTTTCAGTTGTTTTTGGTATGAGGTGTGTAATACTTTCAGTAATCCATTCCGGGATTTTATTGGGATTATTTACAAGCGTTGATAATGTTTTTGCAAGAATTTCATGGGTAGATGAGAGATGATACAGCCAGAAATTGGGCAACTTGTCATTTCCTGGGGATTTCCATTTTTGGGATTTCGTTAGAGCTTGCCTAACATCATCTGTGGATATATTTTCCCATTCTTGGAGAGGTGTATCCAGCAGTCCTTCTTCTTCACGCCATATCCATTCTGCATTTGGGTTATATTCCTTTGGGCTGCTCCAAATATTTTCCCAAAATGTCTGTACATTATCAACCGATGGTGGCCTTTCGACATGTATAGGTGTTTTTCCAATTTCCTGTAAAATTTCTTAAGATCTGTTCGAATATTTTATTTTGGCGATAGAACCTACAACGTTTTTCGTATCGTCTTGTTCTCTGCGCCTTTAGCTGAAGTTTCTGCTTCAACATTTCCATGATTGATGGAATATCAATTAGGGATTTAATGTTATATTTCCGCTTGATCTTTTTGCATTTACGTGTGGAAATATTAGGGTTTCTGGTGAGCTCATCTAATATAGAAAGCTCACATCTGATTTGTTTTATTTCTCGAATCAGTTTGGTTTTCCAAGCTGGTTCTCTGTGTCTGTTAATTTTATTTATTGTCTTGACCCCAAACTTCCGAGTCGCTGCTAAAGCTGTTGCGTATATGACGTTGTTAACTTCTGTGATGTTTCCCGGTGGTTTATCTGTTAAGAGCAGCATTGTATATTTTCACGATATGCTTGTTGGAATTCGTCATATGGATTTTTGGAAGCTGGTCTCTGTTTGACAATTGTATGAAAGTTACTCTGCTGAGTACTTGGATGACATCATTTTTCGCTTCGGTGATTTCAGCTTCGTGGTTTTCAAGGAATTCTAACTTATTGTCACTGAAGATGACTCCAGGTACATTTTCTGGAGAACTGCAGGTTGTGTTTAAGGTAGAGTCTTGGGTTTCATTTCCTAGGAGATTATTTCGTATTTCATTCGCTTTAGCGTCCACCTCATCCTCTGTTGCATTCCTTATTTCTACATTCGTCTCAATAGAGTTTGAGTGATGGGTCATAGTATTTTGTCTTATATCTAATTTTATCTTATCTATTTCTGCCTTTGAGAGTCTGTTGTTTCGCATGATGTCCCTACGGACATTGGCAAGCATGTTTGGATTGAGGTTAGGTCTTATATCATTTCCCACCGTACTTCTCCATATTTGGTATGTTTGATTGGTGGTGTTCTTTGCTGGGTTTTCGAGTGCAGTGAAGAAGGATGTCATGACTTGTCGATACTCTTCGCGGCTCCATTTCGTTTGTTTACTTTTTATTAGTCGATTTGGTATTGAGTCACTTGGTCCAAGGTTGGCAATAATCCGGGTTTGGTGACCTAGTGTCTCTTCGTGTGTGGAAGAGTTTGTTCCAGTGACAGACTTTTCATCCTCAGACTGATTCCTCTCTGAGGGACGCGGCCCTTGTTGTCCCGGTTGACGGCCGATCCGGTATGAAATATTATTCGTATTCATTGAAATTGGAAGAGATGCGTTTTAACCTTGACCGCCAAGGGATAATTATGTTCAGGTTACCAGCTATAGGACGAATCTCGAAGAAGATCCAAGAGCACGCCCAAACAATGAGATTGTGAATTTATTAATATAACGAAGGTATAATAGTTCATAAGAGTGTATGGTATTCAGTGGGGTAGACGATACTAAGTTTTAACTTAGTATAAGTCGGAGTGAACATTCCAAGGGGGATAATCAGATTTTAGTATATAGACTTAAAAAAAAAAAAATAAAAAAAAAATAGGAAAGAGAAAAGGGAACTGAAAAGGAAAGAATTAACTTGAGTCAAAAAGATTTAGAATCATATCCAACTACAGATAAAGTATCATTCAAAAATGGTACATTTACCATTTCTTACAAGTTCGGGGCATGACTTTCCACAAATGTTCAATTTTCCGTCGCCAACGACAGATACTTATCAAATTCTATGGGGTAGGCTGGACTTATACTACAGATTGGTAGGGGGGGATATCAAAGAATTCATTAAACAAAGGTGTAGAAGCAAGGGAATAAAAGTTATATTTTTCCAGTCATCTCTCAACCTACTAGCCGCTAAAAGATATATTTTAAAATTTTCACTCAAAGACATGATAGTCAAAGGGCAGAGCATTGTAGGAAAATTACACCTGTAGCCATGAAAACAAAAAAAAATAGAAAAATAATACAATGTTAAAAAAGTGAAAAATGGACACGGATGTCCGCTTAAGGTCGGGGGAGCAGAAAAATTGAAATATAAGTTAAAACAAAAACAAAAAAAAAGGGAAAGAGAAAAGGGAACTGAAAAGGAAAGAATTAACTTGAGTCAAAAGAATTTAGAATCATATCAAACTACAGGAAAAGTATCATTATTATTCTTATTATTATTATTATTATTATTATTATTATTATCTTTCACTAAGCATAATTCATAAATTACCGTAACGTTCGGCTTCAATTCGAAATTAAAATGCGGTATTAATTTTATTTTAAATACTACAGAATTAATTATATGTTATTTACACTATTTAAATTCGGACTAGTTTCCCCATCGTTGTTGTTTTATCACAACGTTTCGCCCGATGTAACCTTTGGCCTTCATCAAGACTATATTTATCCGAGTAACCTAAATTCCGAATATAACCCTTTATTTAATAAACAGGTATTCCTTTCCACGTTCCATTGCTCATGTCTACAGATATCTAGCCTATAACCTATTTTTAGTACTGTTCAGTTACTGATCGCCCTGTTTCCACAGGGCTCACAACACTTAGCCGAGGAACTGGACTCACAATTATTATGTCATCAAATTTCCGAACCAACGCTGTGGTTATTTTCACTTACGACAATTCTCTGGGCAGAACTTGGAGACTTAAACCTAACCTACCTTCCTGCTGATGAATTCAGTTATTATTGAATAGACTCAGTCTTTTGTTAAAGCTGCTTGAATACTTGCTGTAATTTATGCTTCTTTCTTTATTTATTACTTTCTCCCATATCGTATTTATTTTTGTCTAGATCTACTAAGGTCTTCATAGCCTATTATATAATTATAGATTTATTTATAAATAAATCCAGTGTTGTAAATATGCGGTATTAATATTTTTCTGCTAATAACTTATTCATACGCACCGTCACATTTTAAGACGATAGACATCAATGGAATATAATCCAATCCAATTCGTCATAGATTTATAAACATCCGATATTATAGGTTTCTATAATTATTAGGTGCGGATTTATCATGAATATTTATTTAAAAGAATACAGGCAGTTTCTTCTAACATTAGACATACGTATATTCTTATGGATAAAGACGGAATACGAGAAAAGTTGAGAAAGAAGATATTATAATAAAAAAAGAAGGGTGTCTATTCAGAAAACTATATTAGAAGAAAAGGATGTTGGTATTGAAAGAAAGAAACAAAGAAACAAAGAAAGACAAGGAACTTTACAAAAGATAACGAAAGAAAGGAAAAATGAAAAGAAAAGAAAGAAAGAAGAAACAAGGAAGGCAAAAAGAAAAGAAAAGCTGAAAAAGAAAAAGAAAGAAAGAAAGAAAGAAAGAAAGAAAGAAAAATAAGGAACTTTACAGACGTAAATGTAAAAAAAGAAATGATCAATAAGAAAGGGAAAAAGAAAAAAGAAAACATGAATTAGAAAGAAAGAAAAAAGAAAAGGAACTTTACAAATGATCGTTGAAGAAAGGGAAAAAAAGAAAAAAGATGAATAAGTTGAATGAAAGAAATAAAGAATGTAAATATGGTTGGAAGAATTATAAAAGAGAAGGGAATGTAAAAAAAGAACAAAAGAAGAAAAAATGGATGAACAATAATAAAAAATATGAATCTGAGAAAACATATATAAAGAAAAATACAACAAAATATAAAGAAATCTTTACATTTTTTTATATTTGACTGAATTTTTTTCTTCTTTTGTCTTCTCACATCTCTATTTTTAATACTTGTTCATTCATTTTTTTTGTCTTTTTTATGGAACTTAATGAAGACTAAAAGAGCCAGAAAAAAGACTATGAACGCAAAGGAGACAGAATTTATGGTTCTTAGCAAGAGGAAAAACCCAAGATTCCAACTGCGAATTGGTGATGTCAATGTCAAAGAGAAGTTTAAATATTTGGGAATGGTATTGACGGAGGACGGGTTATGTAGCAACTATATCCCACCGATCCTTGGATTAGCGAAAAAGTTGTGCAAAAAGTTAAGCAAAATACTAAGAAGAGGAGATTTTAGGTGGGAACCAAGAAAACCAATCCTATTGTAGGACAGTGAATCCTGGACAGTCTCCCCACGGATTGAGATAAAACTGGAGGCAACGGAAATGTAGTTCTACAGAAGGATACTGAGAATTTCATGGATGGAACGAGTAAGCAACAAAGATAAATTAGAAATTTAGTGGGTACATAATGAGGAAAGATGTTTCGAATAACTTAAACCTAACCGGGTTTAAAGAAAGCAAGAAAGATAGATGACGACAGTGGTCACCTACTTGAAGAACTTGTGTGAATGGATGGTAGAACTGGGGGCTTAGCAAAAGGATAAACGTTGCTAGGGTTAGCTACAAGTGATTGGAAATTGTGGAGAGCCATGATCGTCCACTTCCTGGTAGAAGAAGAAGAAATTTAATGAGGAAAATAGTTCACAGCTTGACAAAATGGACAAAAAATGGACACGAGATCATGGAATGAAATCTCGTTTCCAACAAATAAAATCCGCTGTGCATTAAACTCGCACAATCAACAGAATTGCCAAACGCGCTCAGGCGTCCATTTGCTTTCAGTATCGTTTGGTTTGAGATTAAATCAGTGGAAGAGATTTGCCCACTTCTAGTTCTGAATTCGAATTAGCCTTCCCTTTGTTGAATATCTTCAACGATAGTTGCGTGTGTGTCAAGGTATCGATTGAAATCGCAGAGCAATGGCACGTAAAAACACGAGAATTTCGCACAGACGTGATCAAGACCATGAAATATTTACCGAAATGCCTGAGTGATGATTGAAATAGCTTTCGCTGCAAAAATTGTTGACTGGCTCCATGGCGAGATGCTCCTCCTGAATATCTGATTTTGCAGAAAGGGATTATTTGATTGTTAAAAACATTAAAAGAGTGAGAAGAGAGGAGAGAGAGAATAAAAGAGAGGAATTAAAAAGCGAAAACAAAAAGATAAAATGAAATGAAAAGGAAAGATGCGGAGAGGGGAAATTTGAAGAAATAATAAGTCAAGCGCAAACTAAGAAATGAATTAAAATGATTTTTTTAAGATTGAATGAAAGGAGAATATAAAAGAATAAAACTGAAAGAATGAAGAACTAAACAAAAAGCTTAAGAGGAATGAACAATATGTGATAAGTAAGAAAAATGAAAGCAGAAAGGAAGGAAAGAGGGGAAAAAAGAAGATGAAGAAAGTAACGTGGGGAAGAAGAAACAAATTAGCAAACGAATAAGCAAAAGAAAAACATAAAGGAAATGAAAAATGAAAAATGGTGTCCAGTAAAAAAGGGGGTAAATTCAAAAAGAAATTTATTTAGCTATCAGTTTTCATGGCCGAACTGAACAATTATCGTAGATGTCCGAAATGTGTGGCTGAATATCCAACACAAAGCTGTAAGTAAAGTAACCAGGAGGCGGTTGTTTTATGGATAGTTTCAAAAAGAATTTCATTCCAAGCTTCAGTTAAGTTCCACTTGAATGAATCAATATCGACGATGTCACGACGATGGTTTTGCAAGAAAGTTATAAGTATACTCTAGATATAGCAATCTATAATATTCAGATTTGGACTTTCAGAAGGCCACTGAGTTGAACCAATTAGAATTAGTGTATTTTCCCGAAGAATAAATTTGCCGATTTTTTTTTTTTTTTACTGAGCACACTGTAGAAAAAAGTAGCGGAAAAAAAAACTGAAAGGAAAACAGAAAAAGATTCAGTCGACTTTCAGTTACAAACTTCCGAGTCAAGTCAGAAAATTCTCAATAGGAGAACGTAAATTATATGAATGACTTCTGAAACGACAGCAGTAGGAAAACCTTGAATGAAAACAAATTAAATCAGGATTTTTTTAAATCAGCTCATCCCAAGCAAGGCGATAATGCCAATAAGACGCAAGTGCTTACTAGGAATAAAATTGAATGAGAAAACTTTGGTGAGGTGAAAAGACAATAAAAGTTTTCAGGAAGACAAAGGATGGTGATAATACCAAAGTCGCAAATGGTTACTGGGAATGACAGAGAATCAGAAGACTTTAATGAAGAGAAAGAACAATAAAATTTTAAATGCCAGTCTTTATAAAAAGGGGAATTAACAGAAACTGATATATTCAAAGGCATAGCATATGCAAGAACAATAAAAGAATTTCTTTCTGGAAGATAAAGGATGAAGAGTGGCATTTAAAATTTTGAAGATTCTATGCAGCATAGAAGCAAGAATTAGCAAAAGATCTCCATAGACGGGAAGTGCGAGAAACCATTTGAATATAAATTACTGTTACGTATAGCTAATTCAACAGTAAAACAGTGAGACCTACTCGCCAATCGAGCAGTGCGCATAAATTCATCTGGTCGAGGAACCAACGAAGAAGACTCCAGAAGATGTCAGGTCAGGAGAATATTGAGATATATCGTTAGAATACAAGACCAGAAATGGCAGCAATATTCAATGGATGGACGAATGGTAAATTTATAAATGTGCAATATGGACTCTGACGTGAAACATTTTCTGTCACAATACAGCGAACCAACGTTCTAAGCAGCAGACCTGGCAGTTGATTCACTAGAATCGCTCCACTTTATGTCTGTGAAAAACGTCAGCCCAAGAAGGTGCAAAGAATTGCTGTCCTGGTGGTTAACATCAGCATGGCTGATGCTAACCTCCACGAGAAAAGGTTCTAGTTAAAAGGTTAAAGAGAAAGAAAAACAAAGAATGAAGGGTGGAGTATAGGAGATTGAAGATTCCTTCCTCTTCTTTTATGTACCATATTCCTTCAGACCATTAGAAGTTTATTGTAATCCGATGCCAGAAATATATAGAAAGATGTTCAAGATCTGTCTACATTTCTGAGATGAGGTATTGCAACACATGGCCCAGTCAATACAAGCGATGGTTGACTGTTCCGAAAGCGGTATAACCCAAAGAGTTGTGAGTTCAATACTTGACCAGAACAGAGAGAAAAAGGGGAATTGACAAAAACTGATATATTCAAAGGCATAGCATATGGAATTCGGACAATCTACCACTGTGGACTAAATAAAGGGTTTGATTCGAAATTCCAATCACACGAAGAAGCCAGAGTGTACAACGGCTGAAACGTCGTGAATATGGCAATAAAGATGAGGACAACAGTCCAAATAACGTAAATAGTGTAAAAAAAAACATTACTTTCGGAAAAAAAACTTGACTCTACAATCGAACATTATTTAGCGAAAAATTTAATACATACATTTTATTGATGCTGGGAGATTCGTAGAGATCGTTGGGAGGTTAGAAAATAAATTATAGATTATCGGATTTTCGGATATTCAAAAATGGTCTTGAAGCCATTGGGCATTCAGTACTTTGAAAAATTTTCCTTTGTATAAAATCCATGAAAAATGTGATTAATATTTTCACCACTTTTTATGTTCCATTTCATTTGATCTTTAGGTCGTATCTTAAATGCGATCGAGATATTAACAAGCTATATATTCAAAAAAACAACTGCCCTCGTCATTTTACAGATTTTCTTCTCTTTTTCTGAACAAAATAGGAGTTCATTATTAAATATATATGTGTGTGTGTGTGTGTCTATGTGCGCGCGAGCGTCTAGAAGAGGACACTGTGGTCAGCACCGAGCGGCAACAAGCTATTTCATTCTTGAACGCAATCTTCATGCTGTGCGCGTTGTGTTTTGATTCGATAATTTATATGTGCCAGCCAATAGTGCATTATGTGTAGCAAGGTCCATTGTATTATTGTAACGTTTATTGGGTAGACGGTAACAGTTTGTCGCTAAAAATTCTTCTATAGGCTAATGAAAAGGAATTATTGTAGACCCAAATGCGGTTATTTGTAGCTATTTTATTGTGTCGCATGTTAACTTTTATTCGTTATTTATTATTGATTACTTAATTATTTGATGATTATTATTATTAATATTATTACATTTGCTTGTGTTTGGAGTTTGTTCATTTGTTTATTTTTACTATATTTGTTTATTTATTTAGATTTTTTATTTATCTAACGTCAATGATATAGGCCACTTTTAACCATAAATATAAGATACATTAAGATTATATTTTTATCATATATATATATATATATATATATATATATATATACATACATATACATAAAAGTGTATTAGAACGAACAGTTGGTTTACCGCGTTCAAAACATTAATTTAAAAATAGTGCTCAATAAAGAAAGTAGAGCCGTAAATATTTATTTATCTTATGCACTGTTACATTAGAACATGCACATATCCACTACAAAATTATACATCTTTGTTTAAACGTCAAAAAAGGAAAAAGCTTTTTTAGACCTCTCATCAGGTGGGGAACCACAGTGTTACTCCTTTTTAGACGTTGAAATAAAAAAAAAATGTACGATTTTGTAGTGGATATGTGCATGTTCTAATGTAAACTGCATAATATATATATATATATATATATATATATATATATATATATATATATATATATATATATATATAAACTTCAAACGTTTTTATTATAATTATATATATATATATATATATATATATATATATATATATAAAGAAATAATCATACATATAATTAAACATCAATTAATATTGTAGCGAAGTAATTTTCGCCATTAATCGCATTAATATTGCTGATTGATTCTATG